CTCGCACGTGGAGAGATCCTCTATGCTACACATGATTACAACATTCTAAAGTGTAATCCTTCATATAGTTTTTTTAGTTTTCATTCACTTCCTATGTGGGACAAACATATTTTTCAATTTCCCACCAACATAAACTCATTTTAAGTGGCACACTTTGAACTTCAATTTCTTATTCACCCGAGCATCAATTTTGGCAAGTAACTATAAGATTTTGAAATACTCACGGAAGAGAACACAAATCAATCTTGATTTTCCAAAATAGCTAAACGGGTCTCACTCAAAACTCATGTCAAAGTCAGCCAATATCTCATTTTTTCCAACACAGAATGTAAAAGTAGAATAATTCATTTAAGAAAAACTTCAAATTGGAGTTCAGCATTTTTATATAAACTGTTTTTAATATTCTTAAATACTTTTAGATTCTTTATTTCAAAACTCTCTATTTCTCATACTAGTTTTTAATCACGCAATATATTTTTTTGTCAGTAAACCCAAATTTTTTCATACTTTTTAAACACACATTTTTCAAAAAATCACTATTTAAAATATTATTTTTCCCAAATTTCTCTTTTTAATGACCATCAAACAAGGGCTTAGACTCCCAAAAGCTTCCTAAACACATACACACTAAGTCTCTGTTTGGTTTGGTTTAAAATTTAATTAAAATTTCAAGTCAAAGTCAATAATTAATTTTAATAATACATTTTATGGAATCCATAACATTTCAATCACACATTTCATCATTTTTTTTTTTTATCAAAATCTAATAAAAATCAAATTTTAATATCTACCAAACAAGGGCTAAATGTTTTTTTTTTAATTTAAAAATAAATTTAACGCTTGAGAAGTAAATCTAAAAAAGAAAATAATATTTAACCAAATAAATAAGGGAATGTTCTCTTTATCATTTTCAAACCGTTTTCTGTTTTCGATATTCCAAAAAGGTAAAAACACATTCTCTTTCCTATTTTCGAAAATGCGTTTTTGAAAACAAGTTAAAAATTTACAAAGAAAACCTAAAATGGGTGTCTTTAGTTATAATCAAGCCAAAATTTTCAAAATAAGTTTTGGGTGTTTTCAATTTAACGTCACCCCAACCACCACCACCGTCGCTGCTGCCTGCACCACACCGCCGCTACCTACACCACACCACCACAAAAACTATCGCCGCTGTCATCGCCACAACATCACCCAGCCACAACCCTGCCGCTTGCACCACACCACCACCACACAACCACCAAATCTGCCACCACCACAAAAACCGCTAGATCCACCACCAAAAAAATCGCCAAAATTGTCGCAGAACCACCCCACACGTAAAAACCACAACCACGTACCCAAACACCAACGCCAAAGTCACAACCGTACCACGCTACCGTCATACACCACTTACCCAAAACCACCACACACCACCGCCACAGCCACAACCAACCACCGCAACAGTAAAAAAGAGAGAGAGAGAGAGAGAGAGAGAGAGAGAGAGAGACAAAGCTGCCGACGATTGCTGCCACACCCAACTACCGTCGTACACCAAACATGGATTGCATCCACCGTCGCTGCTCGTCGACAAAGAGGAGTGGAAGAAGAGAGAGACGAGAGAGAGGGAAAGAAAGAAAGAGAATGAGTTTTCCAATTTTTGATTTTTGAAAACAATTTTCAAAATACCGAAAAGAACACATTTTCAACAATTTCAAAATGGACACTCAAAACAGAAAATCCAAAATGAATTCAAAACTCAAAACACAAAACTGAAATATGAAGAAAACAGCCCCTAAATAAGATTTTGTTTGGTTTGTGTTTTAATTTTGAGTTTGACTTCATTCTGTTTTGAATGTCTATTTTAAGATTATTAAAAATGCGTTTCATTTTTTATTCTGAAAAATTATTCCTCAAAATAGAAAATTAGACAACACTTTTGGTTTGAAATTTTTAAAAATTTCTCGTTGAAATTTGATTATTCGGTAAAATAAAATATTTTTATATTAATATTATCAAGTTATTATACATTTTAAAATTGGTAACTCTTAAAATATTTTTTTTGGCTACAAAACTAAAAACAAATAATAAACTTAGTTCGCAAAGATAAAAAATAAGAAATAAAATTTGATGATGTAGAGTGTGATTTTTTTATCTGTGTTCATTTGTGTAAATAACCATTAAGAGTTTGAACTATTTTTATTTTTACTTTTACAGAATTTTATATTTTATTTTTCAAAATTTTTATTTTTTATTTATTAGAGTTTATGAAAATTTTGAATTTTAATTATTCAGTATTTTATTTTTATTTTTAGAAATTTTACTTTTTTAGAATTTTATGTAAATAAAAATTTATTTAAACGGTTAATTATTTATCATGTTTTGAGTGTTTTGACTTAAAACACTTGAGATGTCTAAAATTAGTTTTGAATTTTATGTTATAAATTATTTATAACCTTATTTTCGAAAATGCATTTTCAAATATAATAGACCAAACAAATTATAGATGTTCTACAAAATTAAAAACTAAAAACAGCAAACAAAAAATGCACCTTAAATAATTAGGAATGTCTAAAGAGCACTAGTGCTCATCTTATGTTAATACCGGTAACATATTATATCAATCCATTAATGGATAACATTTTGATGAATCTCAACATTTAAATTAAATAAGTCATTCACCAATTAATTAATATGATACGTTATCGATGTTTAACATAAGATTAGCATGGATGATGCTCGTTAGATCAATTCTCAATAAGTAACATAATTTATTCTACGGGGTTGTCCTCAACTAAAATTTTGTTGGATTTTAAAAGATTATAAATGCTAATGAATTTGAATAGATTTTTACAAATTTCATAAAAATCTTATCAAATAGTGTGAAATTTCAAAAAAAATTGGTTATATATATTTTTAAACTTGAAATTTATCCAAATATTTTAAAATCCCTCTATTGATGAAATCTTTATAAATTCACTAGTTATTGATGATACCTAAATTTTAAAAGATTTCATTGAATTTCATTAAAATTTCAATTGTAAACACCTAAATTTTATTGGATTTCATTAAAATTAAAATACATTAAAATCTTAATTGAGAGCGCCTAAATTTAAAAGGATTCTTAAAATTCATCGCAATTTCAATCCAGGACACTCATAACAAAGAGAGAAAACGTAATCTCTCATAGAATTTGTTAAACACGAAATCTTAAAAAATCTAGGTTGATGTATAGATGAGGGATCGTTTCCGACTTTTTTTTTTTTTTCTTACCGAGCTATATCGCAGAAAAGAGTTCCCTAAACCGGCCATGCACGGCAGAGATGACGACCCGTTGCTTCGAAAAAATAGGGGTGAAGATTGAAAATAAAGGAGTGGTGTACCATAGATTTCTGAAGCCATAGCTTTTTTTTTTGGTCAATGGCATGCAACCATAAATATTTTTGTAATTTTCGTCGGATTTTCTCGGGATTATGATTTGATATATTTAATTTTTTCCTATATAAACCAATGCCTCTCACGCTATTAAAATCTCATTCATCAATTGACTGAAAATAAAAATTAAGATCTTGGGTAAGTTTTGCACCGGAAGAATCTGCATTTCTCTTTCATTCACTTCATTTCGTTGTAAAGTACGCGTAAAAATTTGTCAAATCTTAAACTGTTCATATAGTTGTCCTCAAATATATTGGAATAAGGCTTAATTTGTCGGTTTTTATTTTACGCGAGGGATTGTCAGATTGAGAAAGAATGGTTTTTGATTTCATTCTGTGACTTATGATCTGATGATTTGTGTATTTTTGACAGGTTATGGAGAAATTTTTGATCTGTTTTATATTGGGATTGCTGTGTTTGAAATATAATAGTTATGCACAATCTGTCCAATATTCTGCAATAAATTGTAGGAAGCATAGTGCAGTTTTGACAGATTTTGGTGGTAAAGGAGATGGGAAAACCTTAAATACCGCAGCTTTTAAAGCCGCCATTGCCAATCTGAGCAAGGTGGCGGCAGACGGTGGTGCGCAGCTTATCGTTCCACCCGGGAAATGGCTAACGGGATCGTTCAATCTCATTAGCCAATTCACACTCTACATACACAAGGAGGCTGTTATTCTTGGATCACAGGTATCCCTCGATCGCCTTAATATACTGTTCACTTATCTTCTTGACAGTGGATCGACCTTCTATTTGTGGAATAGGATGAAACAGACTATCCGCTAATTGATCCATTGCCATCTTACGGAAGAGGAAGAGATGTAGTCGGGAAAAGATTTGCCAGTCTCATTTCTGGAACGAACCTGACAGATGTCGTTATTACAGGTAGAATGATTCGAAACTTTGATGACATGTTTGGTAAAGATGATAACACGATACCTATCCAATCCTGTCTCGTTTCGTGTATTTTTTTTATTTTTTTTTCAGGAGGCAATGGAACAATTGACGGGCAGGGTGATATCTGGTGGAAAAAATTCAAAGCCAATAAGCTTAATAATACAAGGCCTTACCTCATAGAAATCATGAATTCAAATCAGGTCCAGATATCCAATCTAACCATGTTAAACTCGCCATCATGGCACGTCCATCCTGTTTACTGTAAGAATGTCATAGTCGATGGGCTGACGATTATTGCTCCGGTCGATGTTCCAAACACAGACGGGATTAATCCAGGTGCAAAGAGGTTCAATGTTTTGATTAATTAAAAAAAAACATTAGTACCAAATAGTATTCTAAGTCTGATATTTTGTTTGTTGTCCTGCAGATTCTTGCACCAATACTCGTATACGAGATTGCTATATAGTTTCGGGTGACGACTGTATTGCAGTGAAAAGCGGCTGGGACGAATATGGAATAAGATTCGGAATGCCAACACAACATCTTAGTATCAAAAGGTTAACTTGTATTTCACCAGACAGTGCTGTCATTGCTCTTGGCAGTGAAATGTCTGGTGGAATCCAAGATGTTCGAGCAGAGGATATAACTGCCATAAACTCGCAGTCCGGGGTTCGAATCAAGACAGCCCCCGGACGAGGAGCATACGTGAAAGACATATATGTCAAGAATTTTAAAATGTATACCATGAAATATGCTTTCTGGATGGCAGGTAATTATAATTCACACCCTGATTTGGGTTTTGATCCAAAAGCACTTCCTGTTATTCAGAATATAAACTACAGAGACATGGTTGGAAAGAATGTTAGCATAGCCGGGAATCTCGCGGGAATACAGGGCGATCCCTTTACTGGGATTTGTATTTCTAATGTGACCATCAATCTGGCTTCGAAATCAATGGATCCTTCTAAGAAATCGAAAGTACAGCCATGGAACTGCACTGACATTGCAGGAACTTCGAGTCGAGTTAGCCCACAGCCCTGTGATCTGTTGGCCGAAAAACAACCAGGAAAAAGTGTAGATTGTGCTTTCCCTGTCGATACACTGCCTATTGACAATGTTGAGTTGAAAACTTGTAACGTTAACGTATAAAATTGTTTTCTCAGGACGAAATACAATTCCTGGATTTTGACTCTAGCTTTGTTTTCTTCCTTAATATTGTCCAATACATGCCATCAAAGAAATAATAACAGTATATATAGTTTTCAGCCAATCACCTTCCAAAGAAATAGTAAAACTTTGAATCTCAACAGGTAATGCAGTGCTAAACATTAAATTTTTAAGAAATCTTGTTAATTGATCATCAATCAGTATAATGCTTCCTTTCTGATACTAGAGCCAACCAATGTTCTTTCTGTTAAATAATCCAAAGAAATAAAGAAAAAGAAAAGAAGGCTAGGGTTTCATTAATCCCGCATAATGCAATTGAATAAGAAAAAGATAATTTAATTTAGATACAAAAAAGAGGAGACTAGAGTTTCATTAATTCTGCATAGTGCAATGAATACAAAAAGATGATTTAACCTACAAACAAAGAGACTATATATATAGGCTAAATAAAGGAAATTGAAAAGACTATTCTACCCTTAATAAATAATAAAACAAAATAGCCATATATTTCTTAACATCTCCCCTCAAACTCACGATGTAGCGGCTACAAGCATCGAGAGATTGCCACATAGAAAACGAAAACGAGAAATAGAATGCTACTTGGTAAAAAAATCTGCAAACTGCAAAGAAGATGAAACAAAAGGCAAAGTAATTGTGCCATATTTGAGATGATGACGAGTAAGGTAACAATCAATCTCAATGTGCTTAGTTCGTTCATGAAAAATCGAGTTGTGAGCAATTTGAATGGAACTCTGGTTATCATAATACATAGGAGTGGGATGAGAAAGAAAAACTCTCATATCTGCAC